TCTCTCTCTCTCTCTCTCTCTCTCTCTCTCTCTCATCTACCTTTCTCTTTTCTTAGTCTACCAACGAATTTAGTAAAAGACGCCTTTTGATTTTCCTACGAAGGAAAACGCTACTCTCTCTATCTCTCTTTCTTTCTCTCTTTCTCTCTTTTCCAAGTTATCGCTACTCGCAGTAGAAGCTCCGAAGAGTTAATTCGATGTTCAGCGAACCCTTATTCGTCCTTCTTAAATTCCCTCCTTGCCTGTCTGTCTGTCTGCCTGTCTGTCTGCCTGCCTGCTTGCCTGCCTGCCTTGCTTCCTTCCTTCCGTTTGAAAAATGAACCCCTCTACCCCGCCACCTCTCTTTCTCACTCATTCCCTTGGTCTACTCTTTTGGACAAAGTGCCGCGAGCCTTTTTCCATCTACCTCCCACCCACCCCTCCTCTCTCTTTCTCTCTCTTGTGCTTTCTTCAACAAAGAGTGGGTGGAAAACCTATTTTAAGATTCACATTCGCGATGAAAATCGATAAGCAGATGTATTGCTTTATTCGCATCGTATATTTATCGTGGCTGCATCGGATACTAGCGATGTGTATTATTAGAAGAAGATATCGTGTATCGGTTCAAGATAGGTGGGTAGGTACTAGAGGAAGGTGTGGGGTGGGGTAAGGTGGGGTGGGGTGTGTGGGACGAGTACACCAGACGGAGTATTTTCTTCTTCTTCTTCTTCTTCTTCTTCTTCTCTTTTCTTCTACTTCGACAATACCTGCCAACATTCCTTCCCTTTCCTTCCCTTACTTTACCTTACCTTACCTTACCTTACCTTCTATTCTATTCTCTTCTTTCCCTTTACTTTACTTTCTTTATTTTCTCGATATATATATATATATATACCTAAGAATAAATGTTTCTCCACTTTTCCTTCACGTGCTATCGCATTTTCTTCGTTAGAGAAAACTCCTAACATGGATTCTTCCTTCTTCTCTTATACCATCGTTTTCTCTCTTTCTACTTCATTCCAACCAACATCGATCGATCTTATACACACACACACACACATATAGATATATATATATATATATTTCTTTTTCTTTTTATATATATATATGTTTCATTTAGATACATAGATACATATGTATTCTCGATTCCATTCATTTGAAAATTTCGAGTACGGAAGCTATTAAGAATTCGGAAAACTTGTAACAACCATCTACAAAACTGAAATATTCTTCAATTTTATATCTTCTTTTTTTATTTTTATCCCTCCCTCCCCCCCTCCTCCTACCCTCCTCGTGTTCCTATATTATACTTTTATATATATAAATACATATTCATTGTTATCATATATAAAACAGTAAAATACGTTACCGACTGAAAATTTGAGTACTGCTATTGCATTTGCATTATATACATTTATTTCATTTTGCTTTAACAATAAGATCGAAGAAAATACTATAGTAAGATATTCTATAAGAAAAAGAAAAAAAAAATAATTGTAACGATATGCTTTTACTTTAACAAAAGATACGTTTTTTTTTTAAGAAAAATTCTTCCACCAATGGTAAACTTTTCTAATTGATTTTTCACGTATAACAAATATTTTTAATATAAAGAACAAAATAAAGTATATTTTAATTGTACATATGTTAGTTCATATATTGTTAATTCGGAATTATGAACATTATTCACAATGGCAGACGTTTTTGGGTAATAGAAGAATTGTATTCATATTTCTCACATTTCTTAGATATCGAGCAACCGACCAACCCCCATAATCAACCCCTTCACAATCAACCCCTCACAGACAAAAGCGAATGTGTGTGTTGATTGTAGGGGGGATTAGGTTGCCCAATAATGTATTCTTCTCAACATTACTTACATAATAATTTGATATTCTATAGGATACCAAAGTATTATTTACAATGCCTAGGAAAAGTCCATAACAATTCTTTTGTTTCCTACATTTGTCCAAAAACGTCTGCCATTGTGGATAATGCCTACGCAATGTTCATAATTCCGAATTTCCCAAATGGTCCGTAACACATAATATAATATTTAATTATTGTCAGATATTTCATAATAGTAGTAATAATAGTAGTAATATTCAATTTGATGTATACTAAAACTTTTAATCGATAACGTATGCGTTATAATAAGAATGATTTCACAATAATATGTTTTTTTTACGTAAAGTTTGGTATTTATCTAACAGGAAGGCTTACGCAATCCGAAAATGGCTTTTTCCAAGTGTCATCTTTATTTCTTATGGTATTATCTGGTGATCGCTATATTGACCTGTACCACGGAGGAAAGTGCGATTCGTACGAAACGTTTTCTGTTTCATCAAGTCGAAGAAACTATCGAAAAGATGAAGAATACTATATCGACGAATATAAATCAAATTTTTAATAATCGACGTATCGACGATAATAATGCAAATATAAAGGAATTAAGTACAACAACTGCCCTACCAAATGTGGGAAGTCGACAGATTATTATAGTACCGATTAGGTGTGAACCTCATTACGTAAACGTCAATGGAAAGTGTCGTCTCAATATCGAATGATTATTGATCAAATACGTATCTCTTAATGTGTATGTATATGTGTATATGTGTATAAGTATTTGAAGATAATTTTTAATGGACTAATATGAGATTAGAAATGAAAATTGTTTAAATAAAATAATATGAAAAATGATTTCACTCGTGTATCTAATATTTATTTGTATTCAACAAAAATGAATGTAAAAAAAATTCGATAATCATTTATAATAATAAGAAAAAAAGTATGTTTTAAGTAATGACACGTGTGTGCTAATACAGATAGATATTAAAAATAGAACAAAAAATAATACGTATTTAACGACGATACGCGGATAATTTATAAACATCGTTTGTAATTTCCAAGAAATTTCGAAACATCCTGAATTCGACGAGAATGTTTTGCGTTGCGTAGCACGAGAGGTTTGTAAATTTGATATCATTTAGTATACGCCTTCGATAAATGTATTATCACGAATTGAAATTCTATCTGAATTCGATAAATGTCTAAATAAAACAGAATAAAAAAAAAAAAAGAACAAAAAAAAAACCGATTGAGGAATAGTAAGCAAACGTTAAGCAAAGGATAATAAAATTGGGTCAAATTATTTTATATAT